CTCAGCCTCTGCCTGCATTGGCCCGACGACCGAGGATCGCCGCGCTCCTCGTCTGGCGTCGCCGCGCGGCAGACGCCGCAGCGCGGCTCGCCACGTCCGGGGACAGCGCTGCCGGAGCCGCGGGCAGCGGCTCCAGGGCCCTCCGGGGGCCTTCCTGACACCGGTTGATGGTCTCTGGAGGAGTGGACCCCCCTTGGGATCCTCCTGGGGCATCGGGGGGGCATCTGGGATACCCCATTACGGCCTCGTGGGGCCGTCGTGGCGATGTCTAGGGCTGGCGCGGCCTCAGGGGCACCTCCTGATTCTTTCTCCTCGAGTCCCTGCAGTGGCCTTCTTGTGCGCGGATGGGGCCATCTTGGGGGTCTCCGCAACCGTCCCAGTTGGGCCGGCTGGCTTATGGATTTCCTTGGCTCCGGGGAATTGGAAACATTGTCGTGAGCGTGAGCGTCGCCACTGTCATCGTCAGCCTCTCATCAGCATGCTCGTCGCCGTCAGACAGTTCCAGGGGAGGCGTGCAGGAACATCCGCGGACGTCTGCAAGGTTACACAACAATTCCAAGCCCATCGCGCACCCAAAGACTGAATCCGCAAACATGTATTGTGCTCTCCAGGTTTTTGTTGGGTTTTGCTCGTTCTGGGGCTTCGTGGGAAACCCAGGGAGATCCTCTGAGCGACTGTCCTGAGCCTCCCTCGGGATCCCCTGGAGCCATTTGGACCATCCTGAGGCTCAAAAGCTCATCACAAGCGAAATGGCGTGGTGATTTCGGATATTCTTGAGGTCTTGGGGTCCTAATTCAGGTTTTCTGGGGATCTCTTCAGGGGCTCCTGGGAGCCTGGAGTCTAGGAGGCGTCTTGGGGTCGTCTAGGATGCATATTGGTCAGGTCTGGTTGGCGTGTTGGGGCCGTCTTGAGGACATCTTGCGATGTCTGGGTCGTCTGTAAGCCATGTTGGCCCCTTCTCGGCGGTGTCGAAGGCTTCGAAGGCCATCGTAAAAGGTCCCCGGGAACCCCTTCAACCCTCTTGGGCTGGCACGGAAACGGAGAGAGCTCTTCGGGAACATGCCCGATGGGGGCTCATAGCACTGCGCGCTCTTGGGAGCATTGGCGTTCAGAGCTTTTGTTCGCGCCACCGCTCGCTTCTGGGCTTGCTTTTGGGAGCCTCGGCGTTAAGTTGTTTGTTCTTAAACGTTACCGCTCGCCTCAAGAGCCAAGGTGGGAAGGGTTGTTTGCGTCACCGTTCGCTCATGGGAATCTGGAAATTGAGAGCTGTTTGCGTCACCGCTCGCTCTTGGGAGCCTTAGCGTTAAGGGCCTTCTGCGCAATTGCTCGCTCTTGGGACCCCTGGTGCTCAAGGCTTTGCTTCGCGTGTAAGCGTGGCGTTCCTTGGGCCGTCCAGGGGAGGTCCTCATGGGGGGTCGGGGAAACCCTTGGGCTCTCTGGGGCAATTGCAATTGTACGGCCCTCGTGGGCCGTCTTGAAGGCACGGCCCGTCTTGGGCCCCCTTGGGGCCCCCGTCGGCGTTCTTGGCGGCCTCCTGCGGCATTCTGGGGGGTCTTTTGGGGCCCTCTTCGGCCCTCTTGGGCCCCTCTTGAGCCGTCATGGGGCGTTTTTTGGCCGTCCTGGGGCCCTCTGGGGCCGTTTCGTGGCGCTATCGGGGGCCTCCCGGCCCGTTTCGGGGCAAGTTCGGACGGCCCAAGCAATGGCCCAAGGGTCTCCCAAGAGGGCCCACCAGACGCGAATTGATCCCGAACCAAAACAAGTTTCATTGTTTCTGGTTCGCGGTGCCTTTTCGGGTCCTGATCGGCCAAAGGCGGCTCTAAGGGCCTCCGACATTGCCCCAAGATGGCGCGGCCCGAAGAAGCCCCAGGACTGCAACAGAGAGCCCCCCGAGGGAGGAGGAGGAGGAGGAGGAGGAGGAGGAGGAGGAGGAGGAGGAAAAGGAGGAGGAGGAGGAGGAGGAGGAGGAGGAGAAGCCGAAGGAGGAAGAAGAGGAGGAGGCGGAGGAGGAGGAGGGGCAAACGTCCACTGGAGGGGACGGTCAGTTGTCTACGTTCGCCCGCGCACCGCCCACTAGGCATGAGGGGGGCCTCAGGGCGCGACGCGAAGCGGCCGCGGCCGCGGCGTTCTTCTTGAACT